CTTAGAAAGATTATATAATTATTCACTAATATTCTCTTCCAGCACTTGGAAAACTTATCCCCCCCTCTTCCACCCCCATAAATATTTAAATATTTAACTCCCTAGAGTTTAGATGGAAAATAGAATCTCTTAACTTTTCCTTTCAGAAATAAGTCAGTTGCCCAATATTATTTATTGAACAATCTATCCTTTTACCACTCAATTACGATGTCACCATTATCATAAATTCCCATATACCTATGGATTTGTTGCATGTGTACCTTGTGTCAGAGCCACAATTTTAATTATTAACTTTATATTGCTTGTAGGTTAAAGAAACTTTTGTTACCTTTTATTATCATAAGTCCTTTCATTCTCTCCATAAGCTTAAAAATATTGATCAATTCTGAAAACAAATTCCATTTAGATACTGACTTGAATTGCATGAAATCTACATATTATTTTGGGACAAATGGACAATATTAAATCACCTATTAATTTAAGTCCTCCTAAAAACTGTTAAGTCTTCCATTCCTCTACTTAACTTTTGAACACATGGAGTACAGTTCTGTCTTTGTCAGTTAATGCTAACATCTGTGGCAATTTTGGGTATGTTTCAACTGAATTTTTCTCATCGTGGGTTGTATTTTTCTGCTTTGCATACTTAATTTTTTATTGGATGGCAGACATTGTGAATTTTATCTTGTTGGCTGATGGCTATTTTTCCATTTCTATATTCTGATTTTTGTAATGAGGTAGTTATCTGGAAAGTTTGATCCTTTTGGGTCTTTTAAGATTCATTAGTCAGGACCAGAGCCCTACTTAAATGTAAGGCTAATTATTCTCCATTACTAAGGTAAGATCCACCTGAGTCCTCTACCCAGTCTTGTGAATTATGAAGTTTTCCATTTTAGTTGGTAGATAAAGGCACTATTCTCAGCCCTGTGTGGGCATGGTATATTGTTCCCTCTATTTCTTTTGATTGGTTCTTGCCTCAGCTTTTGGGGTACTTTCCCTGCATACATGTGCTATTCAATGCTCTGCTGAATACTTGAGGGAGACTTCCTGCAGACCTCCAGAATTCGCTCTGGGTGCAACTTTTCTCGTAGGCACTCTGTCCTGCAAGCTCTCCCTTTTGTAGTCTCCCTGGACTCTAAGCTCCTTCTGCTAAATTCAGGGTGTCCACTGGGTTCCATCTGGATTCCTGCCTGAACCACACTACATTGTGGTCTGGAAACTCTCTGAAGGCAGTAAGCTGAGTAAATTATCTGGCTCATTTCACTTGTTTCCTGTCTCTCTGGGGTCACTGCCTTTGCTGCCTGATATCCAGTGAAATGAAAATCATTATTCTGCATGTTTTGCCTGGGTATTTTGGTTGTTTCAGGTAGGAGGGTTAATTCAGTGTGTTACTTCATCTTGGCTGAAAGCCGACAGCCCCTTCCCACTTACATTTCTCCAGTTTTGATATTCCAAAGTACTAATACTTTGCTCTTCAGTTGAAATCAGGCTGTTATCCATGCTACCTGCTTAATTTATTTTATCTATTTATTAATATATTTTATTGATTTTTACAGAGAAGAAGGGAGAGGAATAGCGTTAGAAACATTGATGAGAGAGAAACATCGATCAGCTGCCTCCTACACACCCTTTACTAGGGATGTGCCCACAACCAAGGTACATGTCCTTGACCGGAATTGAACCTGAGACCCTTCAGTCTGCAGGCCGACGCTCTATCCACTGAGCCAAACCGTCTAGGGCTGCTTAATTTATTTTAATAACTCTTTTAAGATTTCTAATTTTCCACCATAATTACTTGTTTCATAGCTAACTGCTTATTTATAACCAGTTCTTATTTTCTGTTGTTTCTGCTCTTATCCATTTAAGGTTACATTCTTTTGGTAAACCATTTTTGAGATTTCCTCTTCTTTGAATATAAGCAAGTAGCAAAAAGAGTGGTTAAGGGTGTGCTCTCCAGAGCCAGACGACCTGGGTTGAAATCCCACTTTCATTACTTAGTAGGCCAGGTAACCTCTCTGTGCCTTTATTTCGCCATTCTGTAAAATGGGGAAAATTATAATAGTTATAGGATTGTTGTGAGGATTAAAGGATAGTTAGAATGGTGTTTGGCATATGGTAGC